AGCACTGTAGCTAATGCCTAATACGGGAGGATTGTAGTTTTGCGATCAAGGGTCCTCCCGGTGAAACAATTAGGCCCTCCATGTCTCCTGACTCCCTCGATCCCGTGCATGTACATTGTAGGAAACACGTTTTTATAAACAGCTTTGCTTTGTTCTACCCAAAAAAAAAAAAAAGGGATAAACAAAGTTGTTCTGTAGATCAGTTTCAACTTCAAATGTGATAGGAGATCTGAGAGAGGGCATTTGATTAGGTTCTTTTAAGAGCTTTCTTCCACTTCAATTATACTGCCTAAATATCTTGGATTTGACAGGAAATTGATGAGCATTGTCAGCTCAAATTAACGCTCTTATAACAGCAAAGTCTGCGACTTCCAATTTGGCAGAAGTTAGTTAAGGATAGAAATTTATGCTGGTATGTATCAAATTGTTTCCGATCGAGGAACAACGGTTGAAGTGCAAACTGTGGAGTTCCGCCATTCGACTCATTTAATCGACCTCATCATTGGACAGTAGTCCTTGTTCCTAAATATATAGATGAGAATATATTGATATTGTTCAATATACATAGCAGTGATTCAAAATTCCACCAAGTGAGCAAATTAATTCTTGGGCCAGTAATTTCCAAGGTAGCAGGAAGATAACCTTTTTTTTCCTTTGGTTTGGCCGAATGTAACACCTATTATTATTACTCATCCTACACTAGTCTATACGAGGAAACATTTTATTAAACTGCAGGTTACATGAATAATCTATATTATACAATTAAGCTACTAAAGGTTTTTCCCAAAAAAATGCATCGTCTTTATAGTATAAGCGGAAAATTTGAAATTATTTAGGGAAAAAAAGAGAAAAATGGAAAAGCAAAAGAAACAACAAGGAAAGATTTAAATTGCTCAAACTTGAATATATCGTTGGTTCAGCACTTGTTGATGCACAATCAAAAGCATATCAATTTTTGTTACATTCTTTTTTTTTTTTTTGTTTTTTGTTGCTGCATATCAGCTCTAGATGCTAAAAAAGTAGATATAAAAATATGAGTATATTTTATATACACTGACGGTGTATTTACTATCACGGTTAGATATATGACACATATTTAAAATTTGAGTTTCAAATTCAAATTCGGATTATATGTCATACATCTAGTGACGAAAGTGTATATATTGTCAGTGTATATAGAAGATTGATCCTAAAAATGTACTAATCTAGATACTAAAAGAATAATAATATAATGTCATTCTTAAAGCAAAATAAGGGTTAATTCTAATAAACCCCCTCAAAAAATAATTTTTCCCCACATTACCCCTTGTGCTATTATGAGTTTCTAATCGTGTGTAATTGGGTCGGGCAATCTCATTTTGTTGTACAGGGACGTTAACCCTCCATAGCATAGGGAGGAAATTTTGGTCAATTCACAAATGCATATGCATTGAGCATGCCAAATTCATCCTAAAATTGGGGTTTTCGACCTAATTATACCTAATTGAGAAATTTGGAATAGCACAAGCACAAGGGGGGGGGGGTGAATTTTTTTTTGTCACTTGTCATTATCTACATTTACACCTACTTCTAGTCCTAATTTAGGTGGGTGATCCAACATGGTCACGGGGAATTGACGGGAACTAAACCACCATCGGACCATACGGGAGGCGATGTGAGGAAGGCAAGTTTTTTTTTTTTTTTGTGGGGATTTATTTGAACTAACCCAAAATACTAGTGATATACTTATTATTTTGGGTGATTGTACACCAAAATAAAATTCTATAAGCAGTGCATGAACGTGGCACGGAAGCGCGGAGCACCAGTTCCTAACCTAACGGGCCTCAGATCCGTCAATGGCCGTTGAATTGAAACGTGAAAGCTGAAGAACTAAACTATTTAGGACTGTTGGGGCCCAAAACAACAGTCTGATCGGTTGATTCAGAGCTAGAAGAGGCGGAGAAAGGCCGAAAACGAAAGAGATGGAGGGTGGTGGTTCCAATAGTAATCCAAGTTCGGCGGCGTGGTCAGCACCTCAGCTTCCCACTGACCAAAAAATCAGACGCATGAAACTCTATTGGCGTGCTGCTTTAATTTCCAACTTTGTTCTTGGAGGTCAGCACCCACCCCCCCCAAAAAACAACTCCAATACTACTATCCTTCTTTCTTGCGCTCGCGCTACTTATTTCTGTACGTGCTTGCTTATAAATGCACGTCTACATTACTGCTGAATTTGCTCTGTGAAATGGTGATTGCGGGGATTTATGAAGATGCTCTGTGTTGAACGATTGAAGCCCAGCTTCTTCATTTTTTTCCCCGCATTCTTGAGTTGCTGTTTTACTTGGGTTCCTCGTCCTTCTTGACAATATTGCATTTTTATACGTCCATGCATTTTGTTCAGGATAGTGTGCTTGGCGGTGATCGTTTGAAATGGGGTTTGAGGCATGTCCCTTTCGGCCCCAGAAGGTTGGAGGAAAGGGAGGTGGGGATATTGGGACTGGGGGAATGGTTGCCTATGTTCTGTTTGATTTAATGATAGGACGTCACATTGTGCTGACACTTAAATGTTGAATGATCAGGGCAGTGTATGGCTGGTTTTGATTTTTTTTTTCAGGAATTAAATGGAAGGTTTTTTTTCCATACGTGTAGTAAGATGTTGTAGTCATTATTTCCTTTTGCCTGCTGTTGATGAACCTGCGACATGGACTTAAATACTGTGAACTTTTAGATTTGGTTTTCAGGGGACTCAGCGAAGTATTTTGCCTGCAGACTGAGGCAGGGAATCTCTTTTTCTTGAAGTGGGCTAATGAACCATGTCAGCCAAAATATATGACATAAAATCTTGACTAGCTATTGATTTTCATTTGGCTATACCCCTTTTGTCTCTTATGCATTTGTAGTCAACAACATGAACAGGCTACTATTTTTTATGTTTGTAGGTAAATGGATAAGAAAGTATTTAGGTTTGATAAATAGCCGAGTGGATCAGTTATTGTTACAATCAACACACTTGCTTGGCTCTTATACGTGAGTATGTGGGCTGTTTAACTATAGAACCCCACCATCTATGCTAAGATCAAAATTTTCTGTTGCCTTGATCAAAACCATTGTTATAAGAATAGTTTGACTTATTCGGGGATGAGATCTTTCTCAATGGGAATCAAATCCTAGTCTAAGTTGTTTGCGCTGATACTTTTTGTTCAATACTAAAGTTTTTCAACCTTTTTGCTTTTTATGTCATCTTGCTGTTGAGGTGAGGAAGTAAGAATAGCTAAGAGGATACTGGTAAACTAATCTAAAACCTTGAAAAGAGAGATGTCTTACAACCATTTCGAAATCCAGAATTTTGCTATTTACTTACCAAGCATATGTGGGATAGTTTGTCTGTACGTGGACAGATGCTTGTCAACTTACTGCAAGTATTGTTGACAAATATTTGTTCTGTAAAGGCCATAAACAGACCTGTAGGGCTATGTCCAGGCACACTGCCCATGGAATTGGCTGCCATCTCAGCCTGTGGCGGGATCAGAAGGCCTGATCAATTACTTCTTAAAACTTTCTCTGTGCAATATCCTTCTTGCTACCTGTAATACTTAAAGATACAGTGTTTACATTTGGTTAACGTGGGACCTTTGAGGCTTTGATGCATATAAATTCAAAACTTGCAACAATTTGAAATGCAGCATGCTAGTTTTGGGGCATCTTTGATGTATGAGTTTTGATGTGGAGAAAAAAGGATGAGAATTGATATTTCTTGCTTCTTGAATGGTAATTAGTTTTCCAACTTGAGATCATTTACGTTAGAGCATATTGAATTAACTTCTTATTTCTGTCACACAGAAAGCCCTCAAATTCTGATATCTCCAGCCAATTGCTAATCTTCAATGGGTGTTTTTGCAGCCTATCTGTTCATCATGCCAAAAAAGAAACAGATCAATGCAGAGAGCAGCAAAGCTGTAGAAGCTGTACCCCCTCCTCCAGTTGAGACAACCAGTCCAGTGCATGAGGAACCTCCCTTTATTCCTTCCCCTGAAGTGCCTGTGAAGGTGCAAAAGCCTGTCCCAGAAGACCAACAACGTGAGCTATTCAAGTGGATACTTGAAGAGAAAAGAAAGGTGAAACCCCAGAATCGTAAAGAGAAGCAGCGTATTGATGAAGAGAAAGCTATTCTGAAGCAGTTCATTCAAAAGGAATCCATCCCAGGTATCTGAAGTGTATTGGTTAATTATGTACTGACCTATTCTCAAGACGGGTATGATTTGGCTCATCCTTGATTGAAGCAAAAGTACTCACTCTTCGTGTACATTGTTGCTGTCAACTACCAGTTTGATAGTTAATGGAAAGGAGCTGACACTAGCCACCACGACTAATATCCTTAGTTTTTGTGTTTTGCTGTAGAGGAGAGATACTTAACAGGGAAAGCAAAGATGAGTGCTTGAGTGGTTTTGCTCTTTGTGGATTCAATAGTTGATTTTGGCGGATTCAGTACTTGAGTGGTTTTGCTTTTTCCTAAGAATGCTTTAACTGCACATTTGATTTTTGTTTCTCTTAATTTCGGTAATATCATCCTTCTCAGCAATAATCTACAAAGCTAGCCAGCCGTGCATAATTTCAATCACAATGCCTTTCAAGTTGGCTTCCTTCCCGAGCAACTTGTTCTGGGACCTCCCATGAAACAGAACCTTTGCGCGCTTGGGCCATGTTCGAAGCTGGGGCATGCCCGAAGTAATCTTGCCTACGGGCCTGTGTTCCGCAGGTCCATCATATTCCTTAGGCAATAATGCGATCAAATTTTTGGGCATTCATGATGGTATGGACTTCCAGGGCTATGATGGTTTCTGCATTTATTGGAGTTCGCAGAACGTCCGCCAATTTCATTTGTAAACATTGGGCTCTTTAACTCCCCACGTGGAACGATTATGCGTGCTTAAAAGTTTCGAAACCTCTAATCAATCCATGCAATCCTGCTGAATTACATTGGCCTAATAACAGAGTCAGAAATCAGTTCGTTCCATTTCTTGCACCAACAATAATCTGATAATCTCATACTACTGAATTAGTTTCCTGACAACAATTAGTTGACGATTTCGCGAAAAAGCCACAGCTGAGGCGGAGGAGAGAGTAGAGACAGAAGTACAAATTTGGCGTTCTGCCTTTTGAGGTGGTTAATAAGCAGCTGGGAAAAAAACTGGACCCCAGCATGAATTTTTCCTTTCCTCCAGTCCAACCACATCTGCATCTGCGGGCTTCCATTATTTCATCCAATCTGAAATCCGCATTCCACTTCTGCCCAGGAATTCGTAACTGTCCAAGGAGTCTCCAGCATTTCATACGGATTGCAATTGACTTGAAACTCTCGAATTTTAAACTGGAATCTTTTGCCGCAAAAATAATAATCCCTGAACTTTCTTCTTCGTTTTAGCTCATTTGGTCAACTTCCATTCCAGATTTCCATTTCTGATGCCAGGAACTGTCCAAGTTTCAGGTATTGAGAGACTCCCTCCCTTTATTGTTATATTTCAGAACGAAAGTTTTTAAAACTTTTCTCAAGTACACCTATTTCTACTGATGCACCACAGTTATGGAATTCAAGGGCCTTCCTTCAACATGCTTGAAGCGTAAGTAGTCAACTCTCCTCCTTCCCTTTTAAGGTTTTGGTGGATTGTTAGAAGGTGCAAGACCTCAGCACCCTTACTTGTATAGTTACACTGGAGAGAATGTATTGATGAATATCTATTGTGATGCAGTTTCCCTGGGGAAAAGAGAGTATCTAACTTCAGATACAGGGGACTTCTTATTGTAATGAACCCTACTTGAAGTTTTATTTTGTATTGATGTTCCTCTTAATTTATTAACTCAAGGAAAGATAAGACTCTTAATGTGCTTAACATTATGCAGCCCATTGACAACTCTTCACGACAATTTGGTTGTTAGGCTTCTGGATGCTGAGGGAAATGAAATAGCTCTCACAGGTTTAACACATCCCCAAATCACTTAAAGATATTACCTACTGGTTTATCATTTTAGTCACACGGAGCCTGATAAGGGTTCATGGCAGGCATTCAGACAATGTCGATTGTTGAAAAGGTTTCTTGGGATGAAAAATTTCCTCTTGATGGAGGTGGGCATGTGCACTTGAAGTTACAGTTTGTTCTCAATCAAGAAGAGCGAAATCGCATCCGCTTAAAGGTACTGTGTACCCATGCTTTTGTTTGACTTGTAATCATTTGATTACAATCTGAAACCAGGCTTGCTACATGAATGATGCTGTGCATTTCACTGCTTCAATTAATAAATGAAAGGTCATAAGACTGATAACTGTTAAAAGGCCTCTATGATAGTCAGAGTATGAAATATCAACAGAGCCTGTCACAATTCTTTCCCAAATCCACCTTCACCGCAAAGCACATTTCTTGCCCTTCCTTTCTACTTACTGAATGCAGAATTATTTAGATACCATATCGTCTGAGATAGAGCTGCATTGCCTTTTGGGTAGTTAAAAGGCTTCCAAGACGGCATTTCTGTAGAAGAGTCAGTTAAAATCTGTATGTCAAAACGTAAGAAAGATAAATGGCGATAGAATTTGGTTATATATCGCAACTTAGTAGCTAAAATTAAGCTAAATTCTGCTTGCTTCCAGCAGCTTATGATATATATATATTTAACAATTGCATGTGCACGAGCCCTTTTGCAGAGAGAAGCAGCAGTGAAAAAGAAACAAGAGAGTTTCTCCTACATTAGCAATGAAAATCCAGAAATTGCAACTTCATTTGGTGGTTCTGTCACTTTGCCCCCCCAGGCCGAGCAGCAGGTCTCAGGTTAGTTCTGACTAGGAATTAAGAATATATAATAGGACAGACAAATTTTTGGCAGCAAAAGAAAATAAAAGAACATTTACAACATCGCCTGTATGTGTAACTGCTTCTACCTCTTTTGAAGAGAATTTTGTTGATGATATGACTGCTATGCCTTCTGAAGAATCACAAACAAGAAATGTTCCCAAAGTTGTGACCCTTAATAATGTTACAGTGCTAGCCAGTCTATCGCCAAATACTGATGTTTCCCCTGCTGGTTTACAATCTAATTATCAAAGGGAAGAAGTAAACCTCCTCCAAGTAAACCCAGTTAAGGATCAAAACTGTTGCTTGATAAACTTTGTTGTTTCCGGGCAAAAATATTTTTAAATCAGTTAGATTTCCTAACAGTCAAGCCGCCTCTTTTAGAAGGCTATGGATAAAAGAGCAGGGACATTCACTGCTCCTAAGATTCATGGAACTGAAGCTCACCAGATTGCATCTGAAGAGGAGCCTGACACTCAGCCATCAGTGCCTAAAGTTGATGTAAATCTGGTTTTTGGCAAAGAACAGTCATCTGATTCCATAAACACTGAATTAGATTTTTTACAAAAGAGCAGTTCGGCTTCTATTAGGCTGGAGGATGATGATGTCGGTAAATCTCCGAAACGAGGTCCATTGGAGAAAACACCTAGCAATGTGAGAAAGTTAGTTAGTGCTTTTGAAAGTAGTCTGCCTAAGGTACTTCAAGACTTTTTAGCACTAGCATGTTGCTGCATTTGATTTTTCAAGTTGTATATGTATTTTTTGTTCATACAAAAATTCAAGATGTGGTCCACCTGGATTCCAGCAGGATGTGAAATCATCTGTAAAAGCACCAACTGTCAGATCTGAACCGAAAAATGTTGGGAAGGGAGGTCATTTGAAGGACTGTGGCCCAAAGGATGTCACTGAACCAACAGAAACAACTTCAGGAAGGAACAATAATCCATTTGTTGCAGGGGACATGAAACCGACCCTGGCTACTTCTGATGAAAGGGAAGAGCCTTTTGGATCTGGCAAAAGTTCTGTTAGCAACATATGGAGTAAGGTGATAGAGACATCAGAGCGTGAATTAGTGGCAGCCATTAGACCAGTAGAAAAAGAAATGAGTACAATTGAATGGATGGAATCATGTGCACAGTTAGAGAGATCATCAACTACTGAAAAAGCTAGTACATCTGGTAGAATGCATACTGACCATTCTGAAAGAGCTTTCTCATTTCGGTTGTCTGCTGAGAAACAGCACTCTTCTGCCACTTCATATGCAGAAGGAAAAGGAAGAACCGATTCCACAAAAACTGATTTTCTAGTGGCTTCTATAAAGAAATCAAAATCAGTAAAATATTGTGAGGAGGAGAATTTTAATTCTGAAAATTCTGGCATGTGGATATTCCCAAATGACACAAAACACTTGTGTATCACAACTGCAGGTAAGAGAGTAATGAATTTGTTAGGAACTGGTGCTACTGAAGCCAAACTCCATCAAAAGAAGAACAGTTCCTCTTCATCTGGCGATACGAGGAAGGTATCTGACTTTTATTGTTTTTTCTGAAGTTGCAGTAACATTCTTTGGATAGCACACATACTGTTTTACCCTTTCAGTTATTCATACGTACTTGATAACCTCAATTTTAGGATCATTGATGTATATATTATTGGGTAATCAGCAATATCCATTGCAATTAGTTAGCCCCAATAGAGTTGATTAAAAATTCAGCTTTACAAATTTCATTCCATGTAATAGAGGAGTATTGATCAAACTCAGATCACACAGGCCACACGTACAGTTCTTCTGCTTAATTTAGCTATCAATTCTGGATTGTTATTTGAAGGTAATTAGTTTTAGCAATTTTGCAGCATGGATCTGACTATGAGATGAAAAAGCGTGAGAAAGAATCTCAGAGTCCTAGAATATCAAGGTCGGAGAGCTCCTCAAATGATGCCTCTGGTGGACTTGTTGGACAGGTTAATTAAGTTATATGATTCTTCCCATATGTACGTAGTCATCTAGCATGGTTCTTTCGGCAGTGCACCTGATACATTTAATTGGAAAATGTTCGTCTTATGACTGCTTTTGTGAGCATAATCATGATTCTTGTAGAAGTTTATCTTTCTGAAGTACTTCTTGACCCAGTCCTTTGCATGGTGCAACATACACTATCAATACCTTATGGATTTTGATCTGACACTCCAGAACATGGTGATATTACTTAATGCTGCACACTAACATACTCGCAGAAGAGCAAGATAACTGGAGCTAATTTTTATAATTGTTCTTATTCTCAGGTGATAAAGATTGCAATCATCGTGGGCTTTGGAATACTTGTTTTCTTTACTAGACAGCGAGAGCCCAGGTTTGTCAGCAGCTTATGTTTGAGATGAGATCAGATTCGCTTTTGTTGTTTTTTACTTCGCACTGCTCGAATTGTTGATATGAAACCCCAATGAAGAAGAAAGTGCATTAAAAAAAAAAAAGAAGAAGAAAGTGCATCATCACTTTTTTGAAAAGATTTTCTTGTGCAGAGCACAAAATTGAAAGATAGGTTCTTTTATTTCCGTCTTGTAATGCTTACCACCATTAACACATGCACGCGTCATCACATGTTTGGAGAATTTTCTTTGTTGAAGTGTATAACCAAAACAGAATGCTTGGCCTGTTAGTGATTAACGTGTATAGTCGGGCGAATTCCAGGCTTCTTGTATACTGTCCATCCAATACGCTTTGTCCAGCTAAAGTAATTTAAAAGAAAAAATTGCTTTGTCCAATTTTTACAACTCTTTTAGTCTTTCTGCTATCTGAATGATTTTGTTCCTTTTTGTCAGAAAGAGCAAAAGAGACACAAATGATCCTTTCTTCACAAGTTCAGAGTACATGGATGAACATACAACTACAGCAGAACAAGTAGACTGACAGCAGACCAAAGAGTTGGATATAACACTGACTTGCTAATTGCGTATCGTCATAGATCATACTAACTTTGACCGGGCTCTCTAGTCGCAGACAAAAGCAAAGGAGGTTGGATCTCAGAAGCATTCGTCGCCCTACGTGTGTTGCCTATGTCTTTTGCAGATTCTGGAGTCCTTTTCTTGATTAGTATGTATACGGGTAGATAGTCTGAGAGACGTCCACATAGCTTATACGTGCAAGACATTTTCATGTCCCTGCTTCACGTTTCCATCTTAATTACATTGGCATCAAAGCTGAATGAAGTTTAGACATTAATTGCAGACTGGGGAAGCAACTTTGGCTTCTGCACACTAAATCCCTCTGGAGTTACATACGATACGACCCTTTCAGTAGTATAACTTTAGAAGCAAGTTTCCATTAATTTTCCAGAACTTGTGCACTGCTAAAATTTTGTATCCATCCACCCAAATTTGCAACAGATTGAAGCTATGGACGACTTACATTGGTAGTTCTGAGGTTCATTCTATCCGATTGTTATCCAACCCATGAGAAATACGCTTAGTACGTACGAATTTTGATTTAAAATTTACTAAATCTTTTTGAATGCTGCATGTGAATTAACTGTGTGTATAAAGGTAGAGCAGAATCTTTGGTCTTAACCATTTTTAACTTTTTGAGACCCTAATATTGCCTTCATAGCAAAAAATGAAATCTTACAAATGTGGCGTGGCACATAAGGAATTCCAAGTAAAGGATTTATAGATATAACTTTCGCAAACATAAATAACTGCAAGTTCCACCGTCCCTTTTGATGCTTATAATTGCAATTCAATAAATTCTTATTATATCATTCAATAATTTAAAATTTTAAAATAATTTAAGAGCTGATATCTTTTCTTGTAAATTCAACTGTAAATTGATAGCCATCGGTACGGTAATGTACCAAAAACGGTACAGTACGACTCCCCATAAATTTTACATCTATACAAACTGGAAAAAAATAAACTGGAGCCCCGTCTACCTTTGTCCGCCGCTCCACGCACGATTCTAAAGCCCTAAACCCCTAAAGTGGTGTGCATATTCTGTTCTAGTGTTCTGCTCCCTCAGATAAAACTCCGTATTTCTCACTCCCTCTCCTCCGCCCCTCACCCTCAAACAAAACGAATATTAGTTGCAATTGAAAATGGTTCGAAGCCTCAAGAATCCCAAGAAGGCCAAGCGTAAGAACAAGGTCGAATTTTAGTACTAGCCCTTTTGCGTCTTCTTTTAACTCAAGCATATAAGAGGAAAAAGGGAAAAAAAAAACCATCTTTTATCCATTTATTCCTTTATACGTGTTAAATCAGTTATGAAATCAATTAAAGGTTGAATTTTGACATGAACATCTTTATCAGGGAGCTAAAAAAGGAGATGGGTCGTCATCAAATTCTGCGCCGTCGGTGCCAACAAAAGTGTGGCAGCCAGGAGTGGATAAGCTGGAGGAAGGAGAAGAGCTTGAGTGTGACCCTACTGCTTACAATTCTCTCCATGCCTTCAATATTGGCTGGCCCTGTTTGAGGTACTGTTTTCCTCTCTCTATCTCAATTGTTAGTTTGAGTACTGTTCACTTCTTTCCTAGTTAATTTTCTAGGTGTGATTTTTGTTAATTAGCTGTATCAGTGTGCTTGTCTGCTCTGAACTATTTTTCTGTACCTTTTTTTTATTGTCATTGAAGTGGGTGGGAATGGGAGCTGTGGGTTTTGCTCGATGAGAAATGGATCAAAGTGTTTTGTTTGTTTATTTATTTTCTTTGGCTTTGAGCAGTTTTGATATTCTTCACGACTCGTTGGGATTGGTGCGCACAGAGTTCCCTCATACAGTGTACTGTGTCGCCGGAACTCAGGTGAGTTTATTGGGTTATCCCGTCTTATTGGACCCTAACCAAAAAACTCACGAGTTCATGCAGGAAGAGTTTAATTTGGTGGGATACTTTTGCTAAGCTAAAAGGCTTATGGAATTGTTTTTAGTCAAGAGATCATTCCGTATATCAAAAAAAAAAAATTTTTTTTTGCCTTGGAAGATACTGTAAAATTTATTCTACAGTGTTCCTCTTTGTCTTAATCTTCCTTGAGCATTTGCAACTGGAAAATTACTGCATTTGTTGTTTCTTAGACCATTGACTGAACAAGCTCTTTTGTTTGTATTTATATTTATTTTTATGTGGGCTTCTGATTTGCTTCTTTTTCTTTTCGTATTTCTTATAGGCAGAGAAAGCTTCCTGGAACTATATTGGAATTTTTAAAGTATCTAACATTTCTGGCAAGAGACGAGATCTAGTTCCGAATAAAGTAAATGCTGATGGCTCGGAAATGGATAGTGATAGTGGTGATGACAGTGACACGGATGATGAGGAGGAGGGCAGTGGTTCTGAGCCTCCTGTTTTGCGGGTATATCATACTTCCTTTCATGTAAAACCTGTTCAGTTTCATATAATTCTCTTTTCCTGCCTAACAATTTATGCCTTACAATGAATCTAACAGCTCCGCAAGGTGTTTCATGAAGGATGTGTTAACAGAATACGTGCAATGACACAAACTCCCCATATATGCGCTTCTTGGTCAGATAGTGGTCATGTCCAGGTCCGTTTCTTGCTCCTGAGTTTTTGGTCAATTAAGTCCAGAATTTTGGATTCCACTTCAATACCATGCTATTTGAACTGTGTGCAAGTTAAAAGAGTTTCAATGTATTGTTGAACTGTGTGTGAGGTTGCACTAGCAGCCTCTTAAGTCGGAGATATGAACCAAAACCATTAGAAAAGTCCATGGTACCTCCACCATCTTATTGGCAGGTGGTAGGAGAGAATTTCTGTCCTCGAGTTTTCTAATACCATAGAAACAAAGAGAAATGTTAGAGGGAAATTTTATGGTTTTCTGAAACTCAAGTTAGTACTCCGTTTAGTTGATGGAACATGCAAGGGCCTTGGCATCACATATTTAACCTCAGCGGCACTGAAAAGTGGGTCCAGGAGTGCTTGTCATTATAGAATTGACAATCAAACTCTTTCCTAAATTTGACTTGAACCATCCAACCAATTTGTGAGTTCACAAATGGGTTTTTTGTGCCTTTAGGTGTTTGTTACTGGAAAGCTAAGATACTTAGAAGGCATGCAGTTCTTTTAATTTCTTATTTGTGCATGCTCCGATGGCTTTGCAGATCTGGGACTTCAGCTCTCATTTAAGTGCTTTGGCAGAATCAGAGACGGATACCAGCCGTGGAGGTTCTGGAGTAATTAATCAATCTCCTGTAATCAAGTTTGGGCATAAAGATGAAGGCTATGCTATAGACTGGAGTCCTCTTGTCCCTGGAAGGCTTGTATCAGGTACTGCTTCATGTTTATTGTTTCATGCATTCAGCCAGCAACTCTAAATGTTGTATTCGACCCAAAATTGATGCTTCTTTCATCGCGATAGGGGACTGCAAGAATTGTATTCATCTGTGGGAGCCCACATCCAGTTCAACTTGGAATGTGGATACCGCTCCTTTTGTTGGACATACTGCAAGTGTTGAAGATTTACAGGTACAATAAAATTTTTCAATCAGAATTTCCATCTCCAAGAGATAGAAATCACTTGATCTATGAATTGCTAAGTGGTAAAAGTTCTGTTTTGTATTTCTAGTTGAACATTACTCAAGTCACTTATTTCTTTACAGTGGAGTCCTGCAGAACCATATGTATTTGCCTCTTGCTCTGTGGATCAGAAGATTGCAATATGGGATACTCGTTTAGGGAAGTCTCCAGCAGTGTCGATAAAAGCACATGATGCAGATGTCAATGTGATCTCATGGAACAGGTGTTAAAATTGCTTTCATTTGACAATGTCGTATAATCTTTCTTCAAGTTAGTTTACTTATGTAGTCATCTGATTGTAACTAGGCTTGCAAGTTGTATGCTGGCCTCTGGAAGTGATGATGGGAAATTTACCATTCGAGATCTAAGAATGTTGAAGGTATGGATTTTCGTTCTAAACATTTTACTTTAGAAGCATGAAGTGCTTGAAGTTTTGAATGGGCTGCTTTGGAATGGTTCTCCATCATGTATATGCATTTTAATGTCATTGAGGGACATAAATCAAAGTATTTTTCCTATTTCCTAGTACTAGTAGGTGGATGGAACTACTCAGCTGTGGCAGGGTGATGATTCTTGGGGCAGTTGGGAGATGGTGATGGTCCTCCACAGTAGATATGAACAGTGAATTTTTAATGCATTCATGTGGTGGTATACAATTTTTTCCTAGAAGTATGATTATTAGTGTAGTTAAGTTATATTAGATGGAATGCGGATGATTAGTAGTGCATTTAAGTTATATTAGTTGGAATGTGGATTACTTGGAACCATTAAGATATATTAGTTGGAATGTGTATTATTTGGGACCAGTTTTACCAACTTAGTAGTCCAACATAACATGCCCAAGGTCGCACCTAAAAGAAATAGTGGAGATAACCTGCCGACATGGCATTTTTCACAAACGTCAGTGCTTTTATGTATGATACATGTTGATTGTCTTTGTCGTTGTTATGAATTCTCTCTCTCACCCTCTCTGCAGGAAGGTGATTCTAATTTGGGCACATTCGATTATCACAAGCATCCCATTACATCCATTGAGTGGAGTCCACATGAAGCGTCTACCTTGGCAGTTTCATCATCTGACAACCAATTGACGTAAGAAATCTTTAGCTGCCTCTGTGCGTGTGTGTGTGGTCAAGTGAAGTGTGTCTATGTGAGTTGTTTACCTCTACTTTTTTGTCCATCTTGTTCAGGTTATGGGACTTTGCTTTGGAAAGAGATGATGAAGAGGAGGCTGAATTTAAAGCTAAGACTCAGGAGCGAGTAGATGCCCCTGCTAATCTGCCTCAACAGCTGCTGTTTGTTCATCAGGTTATATTTTTTTATAGCTACCTAGGGTGATAGTTGTTGGTTGTTCAAATGTTAAACTTCACTTTTTTAACTTGTACAGGGCCAGAAAGACATGAAAGAACTTCACTGGCATGCACAGATTCCAGGAATGATTATATCTACTGCTGGAGATGGCTTTAATGTACTAATGCCATCAAATATCGAAAGCTCACTCCCTGCAAATAATGCTTGAAAGTTGAAACAATTTCATCCATTCCATTCCGGAAGACATCACCGAGCATCACACTGATTGTTTGGAAAGGCACGGGGATGAACATTGATCAAATCGCTTGCAAACAGTTTTCTGAGGTCACTGTACGCAGTTAAAAAGTTGATATCAATTTTGTCTCAGCACCTATCTAATTGTGGTTATGGTACGGAAGACGCTTGATCTTACATCATCTTTTTACTTTCTTTTGCTACAAAAATTCTGAGAAATGAAATCAAAGGAAAGAATCTGATTGCCTCTAGTGTCCGCTGCCAAAAATATTTTACCGCACAATCCTTCGGCTAGCACTGTTCTTTTGGAATGATCAAGCCCCAGAAGGTTTTATTGCATGGTGCCGTTCCTTTGGGAGATTTGGGGCAGGGGAAGTTGGAGCTGGAAAGATCTGTTCAAAAGGATGTGATTTAGGTTGAGCTAGTTTTATAAAAAGCTGGTTTGCTTCTTGAACTCTGCAAGAGTTCGACCAGCTGCTGCATTTAGTGCATTGTCCAGGCTCTCGCCTCAGATTCATGCTGAGAACTCAAAACTGTGATCGTGTGTTTAACTGTTTGAGCTGCTGTCCACCGGATAAGCTTGCCCTGCAGTGTACAACTTTCCTACCACTGCCCCAACTCTAGTAGCATGATGCATAACGCTGAAGTTACATTCATCAGTGACACAGATAGAACGCCAGGATGAATTGGATTTATCATTTAGATTGATGCAGAAATTTGACAAATTTATGCGTCAATAATAGTACGTCCAGCTGACTACTCTAATTTCGGCTTGAATCTCACTGTGAAGACAGGATTTGGCATCATCTGTCAGCTAAACAAAGAACCGTCCAAGTTTTAGTGAGGATGGCTATAATTCGAGCCTGCCGAAGAACTTAGGCTCCCCCAGACCAGGCCAACAATAGCATAAGACGCCGGAGGCCAATCTTTAAGGGTCATTGGTTATAAAGCTACTAATAAGCAAATCTCTGCCGCAAATTTACAACTACCCTTCATTTGGGCCTAGTGTAGAACCATTAAAAACTTTTCGAAGCAGCAGCAAATAACGTGCAACTACCCGATAACCAGTCAAGCTGCAGAATATAGCTGCAGAAGCAATTCTACGTGCTTCAAAGAATCAAAATCTGTACCTCCCCAAGCCCAAAAAACATCATTAATTTTACACTTACAAGAGTAAAATGGATTTTAGATGAAGCTTAGGAATCAAAACTATTCGGCGCCACATACTCCAATCTCGGTCAGACAATGAGATGTAGCGGACCTTAACCGTCTGAGAAGCACCATCGCATCTTCCGCAAATTCAGTCAGATCAGAAGAGAGGCAGCTGAACAAATGGACCATTATGAATTCGAGCACGTATCAGCAGAATCTTCTAGGAACTAACTGGCTTGCCATTTAATTTTGGGAAAGGATCTTGTTTGCTTAAAACCACCACTTTGCTCTTGTGAGCAAAGTACCCTTTGACAAGATTTTTATATATTAGAATGGACATTATGCATTCCACCTGCACCGGATGCAACAGATGAATGAGGTTACCCCGCAGGTAAGTGTCTAAACAATATCAATTGGAAGAAAAGGAAAAAAAAGCATGAAAACAACCAGTGTAATAACAAAATGAAACCAACAATACCTCATCTACATCCATGTCCATCTCAAGCCATTTCATTGCTTTAACAATAATTTCTAACTTTATCTGGTGAGCCTTGTTTGGATCCTTCTGCTTTTGGATGATGTGGCTGAATTCATGAGGACAAGTGCAATTACTATTTGACAATCTCTATAAATCATAGAAAACAGTTGTATTTACTACTACTCACATCTTCTTCAACAATCTCTGGTAAACTTGTAGCTCTAGCTTCTCTAAGACAAGGTAAACTCCTGACCTTAAGAATCTGGAGAGATAAGAGTGCTCAATTTTATTCCTCACTGTTAAACATGTTGACACCTGGTTACTGATCACATAACAGTAAATTGAACATACCTGTCTTCATGCTCCTGGAGGGCATGTCGAAGAAGTCGAAGATCACCTCTTTTCAGTGCAAGCACAATGTTACTGTACTGTAAAGGAAATAAAGAAAATCGTATGACTGAAACAAGAACATGATCTCTAAGATCAGCAAAATTGTTGAATTAAATTTCTTTTTCAACAATCAAAATTGATTAGTGAAGTTTCTTTCCATGGATGAGAAATCACATCATGGTTATGGAAAAACAAAGAAAACATATCGACACAGTTCAGTGATTTCCAAGGAAGGAAATTTATGACTCAGACACAGGATATACCTCGTTTAGATTATAATTCTCAAGGAGCTGTGCGTGTGGTAAAATTCCAATTGATAGCTTTACAGGTATCAGATATTTGAGTATCATCCTGTACAATGCAACTAAGAAAACTATTAGCACCATGAACCTACTATATCAGAAAAACTTAGAGCTAAAATATTTGGCCAACAATACAAGCAGTATACCAAAATACTTGGACAGGCAGTCCCTCAAATACCAAACATTAAAAGATGCCTAACAAACAATTTAAAATCTATGTTTCAGAAAGGATTTTCAATAATGTCAGGGATGGATTAGACTTTTCTGGAACTTTCACAAAGCATTTTCCATTAGGTGCACAAACATGTTGGAAAGGACAATTTACTATCACTAATCTGTCACCAAAAAACTTCTATTCTGAAAGGTGCCTCTACTTAATTTCAATCCATATCACCAGAAAAGACTGCCTGCAGTGCAATGCTCCATTCTCAAGAAAGTTTCAACTAATTCATCTTTTACCCAGCTCATGCCAAGAAAATCAATCACCAAATTCAGTACCGATGAGCTACCCTTGAAAATAGTTAACCAAGAAAAAATAACATGCCAAGCACACACCAAAGCTTCAACCATCTAATAGCTCTCGGAGAAATTTTCTCATTTCCAAATTTCAATATATCATCTATAAATTTAAAAATTTTTCTTCTATTCCAGTTCTCCGATATGCATCTCTCCCTGGCCTTAACAACATGGAATAGTGACCATAGACAAGGAGCAGTTTGGCAGAGTTGATGATGTGCTCTTCATAAGTATAGCCTAGTGCCTACACCATAAACCTAAATCTTTCCCCACCTCTCATTAATTTTGGTTCCACGTGTCTATATTTCTCCAGGAAGCACTAATGTAATTCAACATAAGCAGTTGAAAAACTGCCTCATTCTACTCTAAGTTTCCTACAGATTCCAAGCCACTATATCATGCAAGACCCCAGCTGGAATAGATCTTCAATTTTTTTCATTTTCATTTAAGCCAGAATTAGGAGCAACCATTATAATGTACCTTTAAACTAGAAGCAACAGAAACAAAACTGTTTAGCAGAACAAAACATGAATATATGCACTTTACAGTTCAACCACTGTCCACACATATAAAATTTAATTTTGGCAAAAGCCATACCTATACAGTAAAAATGAGTGCTACTGTTAACCTATTGGGCTAATCCTCAGGTGACGGTACAGAATATCCTCGGTTGAAATAAATTACTATGCTATGAACAAAATATGTAGGCTTCAGTTAATCAGGCAGCAAGCTGATATACTTGGGTAGATTTAAGGAATCTTGTCAAAATGCAGAAACAAAGGATGGGAGGTAATCTGTCATTCAGAAGAAAAGAAGAAAAAGTTCAGACTTAGACCTTATATTTGCTTCCTTCCGAGCATCACAATGCGATAAAGCATATGATAACTTATGATCAGCCGCTGGAAAGTTTTCATTGTACACCTCTAAACGGCCTGTGTAATACATGTAGGTGACCTTATCCCGAACAGGAAATTCTTCAAAATCAAAAATTCGAGCTGTCTCAATGCTTCTTATGACGCTACGGCATAAATGAACAGTACCAAGCTTGAAATAAGTTTTGAAAAGTTGGCAGGTCACATATAGAGCACCAACACGCTTGGGACCTTTTCCAGCAAGAGTGCTAAAAACTTTCATAAGGAGTGAACCAGCCCCTTTCAATTTCTCTGGAGTCTTCCCATTTGAAGCCAATTCTATATCAGCCTACATTTTCAAAACATTTCCAAAGACATGAATTAGCTGGCTCTACATCAATCGTATTGAAAGATCACATACTTATACAATGCGGTACAGGGGAAACATGACCATCACATACACATGGCTCTTACCTTCTCAGCAAGAACCCTAATCTCATAGGCCAGTACATATAGTGCTTCCAAAGCCCACGCTGAATCCCAATTACGAAACTCCTGAATGAAAGCACTGTAATCCCAACATTAATCCAAATCCCAATAAGCATATAATTATTGTTAATGAAATCAACATACTTGGAAGCTTTCTCAAAAGCTTGGTAGGACTCGACCAGGTTTCTGAGACGATAACTTTGCAAAGCGCGAAATATAGGAAGTAGTATGTCAGCATACTGAGAGTATTCCTCAGACTGTCTAATCAGCCTATTGGCGTCCTGTAGTCATAAAAACAACAAAATCAGCAAATCTTTCTAGTGGGACTGTAGGAGGTGCAGTGCAGTTTAGAAAGGTGAAGATATACTTAAACATACATAGCTGTGTGTACACAGTGAATGTCGTAAAAAGTGTGGATTCTGAGCATGTCTAAGTAGAGGACAGGGGCCGCATAAACAGCAAATGCTTCAACCAAATTGAAAACCTAAAAACTTCACCTGTAATTAAGATTTACTTGAAGCAAATTACCTTTCTTATGTCGAATACAATCCTTTTTTTTTTCTCTTTAAAAATAAAGAAAGAAAAAAGAAAGTCCATTCTCCAAAATACAATCTTTTTGCCAACTGCAATAGTAGCCTTTTTTTTTCATCTATAATACAAGCTTGATCTCTGGCCACTTATATACATCGCATAAAATTAATCTTTCCATTACGTAATACCGTTCTAATTCCAAGCTTTGTATTAAAAAAAACTCAATTTACTGATCTAAATTCTCGGGGAAATTAGGAAAACGCTTCACAAGAAACCCAAAATTCCACAAGCAAAGCTGCTCTTAAATCAGGAAGCTCAAAGCAGTCAACCGCAAATAGAGGCTAAAGTGGTCGGAAACCAGACAGAGTGAATGGACCTGAAAGGTGTTGAGTGCATCGGCGAGGGAAAGGAGGTGGTGAGAGTCGGAGGAGATGGATAGGAGACGGCTGAGGGATTTGCCGTCTTGCGTCGAGACTGCGTCGGAGAAGCGGTTAAGATATTCAAGTATTCGTCTGTGTGCTTCCCCCATGCTCATCATGTATGCTCCCGCCATTCTTCCAAATAAATTCCTCTTCCTCCACAACCTCTCTCTCTTCTATTGAGCAATTAAAGCTCGGAGGTTTTACTTTTTCTGCTGCAGCTAACGGAAGAGGTACCACCGACGGTGGCCGGAGAGTGTGGCGGCTGCGCAGGCCCAGTCAACTCACCACTCAATAAAACAATACAATGCTCTGGCCTTGATCCCAGAAGAATACATAGTTAATCTCTCTCTAGTCTCTACTACTTCCTCCTAATTATATATCTGCCATGCCTCTCCAGCGTGTATGGAGATTAATTATAGATGATAATTTTCCGAGCAGAGGTGTGAAATTTCAACTTTTACAGTAACGCTTTTGACTAGCCATGCGAATATGTATTGGGTGCATATGCGGGGGATGATGTGTGACGCAAAATTAATAAAAGAAAAAGCTAAATGTAATAAGCCATTAAACATCACCACGCCTTCAAAAGACATATAAATTAAGCAAGATTAGACAATTATGATGAATTACCTAATACCCAATGATGAATTAAATATCACGCCTTTAAAAGACATACTATAAATTAAGCAAGGTTAGGCAATTATGAATTACCTAAGACATTTTTTTTATTTTTAATAATAACCTTCATTCAAAAACACTTTTTTAAATGACCTTCAGTTCAAGACCCACACAAAACTGGAATCAAAGTGTCAATCGTCAAACGAAACAGGCCAAGGCCTCCAAGTCCAAACTCCAAAGCTGGGAATCGCGGGCCTTCCAATAGCCGAAACCACACCAATCATCATCTGATATTGAAACAATCCAATTGGGAATACTCACCAGCCCACCACCAACTTTGGGAAACCGTCCGTCCGTCCGTCAGCTTCCTAGCTCTCCTCCGACAGCTCTCTTTTAACCAATTCCAGCAACATACCCTTTCCTTCTTCCCACTCCACTCTTTGACCCTCTTCTCTCCTTCGCATCTTCACATCTTCCCTTTATACACTTCCACTTTGAAAGGGAGAAGAAGAGTATCAAAGCCTCAAAGCTAAATTTCATCAAAACCTACACCAAGATTCAATCTTTGGCATCTCTTGACTCGTTCAGAATCCCATTGTTTTGATAATGTAGATACAACCCAGATCACAGCATCTTGTATCTTTTTTTTCTTGGTCCATTCAACGCAATATTATCAGGATCATGGATACAGAATCTCTCTCTCTTTTACCTTCGGGCAAAATTAAAATACTCACCCAAAATCCCGCCGGAAAAGCAGACGAAGACCCACAAATCTCAACCACAGCGTTGCTGTCGTTGAGCACAGATTCTTCATCTCCCACAACACCCAAAGCCACAGCTAAAACAGTGCTCTTCATCTCTCTCGTCCTCTCAACTTGTATAGCTCTGTCTGCGGCTATAGCCTTTGCTTACCTCTTCTTCGACGCCTCCCATTCATCGTCATTACCACCGTCGCCTCCCGATATTGAAGTCTCCCGTCCGCTTAATATAATAAAAAGACCGGTTGTTCTCTTGGTTTCCTCAGATGGGTTCAGGTTTGGATACCAATTCAAGACCGATACTCCAAATATTCACAGATTGATAAATAATGGGACTGAAGCTGAGTCGGGTCTGATCCCGGTTTTTCCAACTCTAACTTTCCCCAATCATTACTCAATTGTCACTGGTTTGTACCCAGCATATCATGGAATTATCAACAATTATTTTACTGATCCTAAAACTGGTGAGTTTTTCAGTATGAGCAGTCATGAGCCCAAGTGGTGGCTTGGGGAGCCTTTATGGGAAACTGTGGCTAATCACGGGTTGAAAGCTGCAACATATTTTTGGCCTGGTTCTGAGGTACATAAAGGTTCTTGGAATTGTCCTGCTAATTGTTGTATGCAATATGATGGTTCTGTGCCTTTTGAAGATAGAGTTGATGCTGTGTTAAGGTACTTTGATTTGCCTAGTGATGATATGCCTGTTTTTATGACATTGTATTTTGAGGACCCTGATCATCAGGGTCATAAGGTTGGGCCTGATGACCCTGATATTACAGAAGCTGTTGCTAGGATTGATAAGTTGATTGGGAGGTTGATTGATGGTTTGGAAAAAAGAGGGGTTTTCGAGGATGTGAATATCATCATGGTTGGTGATCATGGGATGGTTGGTACTTGTGATAAGAAGTTGATATTTTTAGATGATTTGGCTCCATGGATTCAAATTCCAAAGGAGTGGGTTCAGTCGTATAGCCCATTGCTTGCAATTCGCCCACCATCAGGAACTTCTGTTAAGGATGTTGTAGCTAAGATGAATGAGGGACTGAAGTCTGATAAGGTTGGGAATGGGAACAGATTGAAAATTTATCTCAAGGAGGAGTTGCCGAGTAGGCTGCATTACTGGGACAGCTACCGGATTCCACCCATTATTGGTCTGATTGAGGAAGGATTTAAGGTGGAGCAGACAAAATCGAGAAAGCAGGAATGCGGAGGAGCACATGGTTATGATAACGCATTTTTCTCAATGAGGACTATTTTTATCGCCCATGGACCTCAGTTTGCAAGGGGACGCAAAGTTCCATCTTTTGAGAATGTTCAGATATATAACTTGGTTACAACGATTCTGAACATACAAGGGGCTCCAAATAATGGGACGTTATCATTTCCACGGACAATTCTTTTGCCTAGCCACTGAATTGTTTAGTTTACATACCAACATGGAGTATCAAGGAGGAGGTGGTTATCCTTCCTGCAGTGTTCATTTTCTTATATAAGAAACTCATGGGTCAGGATGGCGGGGCCTGTCTGAAGAGGTAATTGCAGTGATGCTCAAACTCAGTAGGCGCCAACAGCTCACAGTTGATTTTGAGGTGATAGGCAATCTGTTGGTCACTTGCTGCTATTCTCTCCCAATTCATAATGTGTTTGTGTCCATCTTGCAGCTTATATAAGAACGGACGTAGCATTTGGACCTTAGATATTGTGTATGCTGTTCTTCTTGCGGTTTCTATGCAGAGAAATTCTGCAGTGGATTATACTTTTTGATAATTGGTTCACTGCTTTAATATCCTTGCATGTTTTGGAATTATACACTGCAATACGCGACATAATGCATTAGTCCTGATGATTATTACAACAAAAAAGGGATTTTTAGAGGGATCAGCTAAAACTAGATCAAGTGGTCTAAAATTCGAGAGCTCCTGTGTCAATATTTCAAGCCATAAAATGCATCAGAGGACAAGGAAATCTCGTTCTTTCTGAAATTTCAGTTGCGCCCTAGTAAACACACTAACCCAAGCTTGGTGCAAGCGCTTCTTTTCGGTGCTTTTCAAATTACGGAGTGTGATTTCTTTGGTTCTTGGTGGTCTGATGAAAAGAAACGATCCTTCAATCTTCCCAAAGTTCCACACGAGCAAGGATTCTGAGAAGTATGTATGGAGGTGGAGATAAATCATAAATACCCCTTAGTGTCAATAAACTTTGCTAAATTTGTCTGTCTCGGAGAATTGGTTAGCGCCCCTTCTGGCAGCTCGTTTGGTCACGACAGCCCCTTGGAAGTCGTTGACCAGCTCTCCCACCAAGGTTCGAGTTCCAGCGGTTATCATGTTCGGGGGGAAGGGGTCTCTTCTCTCAAGTCGAAGTGGGATTAGCGGATCCCGTAAGAATTAATCCGAACACCCACTCCGTCGACAAAAAGAAAAAAAAGAGAATCGGTTAGCACCTGAAGGGTATACAAAGGAATTTGGACATATATAATTTAAGTAACGAAGGTAGATACTTGGAAGGATGCAATTCTTTTGTCCAAGCTGCCACCAGACGCTTCAACAATCTCAAGTATTTTTTGACGGGGTATGATGGACTATGGAGCTCATAAATGTGGAGGCGATGTGAACATTTAACCTTCATTTTCGTGGCAATTCCAAAGTAACATGAGCACATCCTATACCGAGCAATTCAACCTCTGTAAAAATCTAAAAGCCCATTTGAATTTTTTTTTATAAAATTTTTGTAGAAAAATGTATTATAACAATTTGATGTATATGGAGTTAAAAAAAAAAGTAAAAATTTTTTGGTTCATTATTTATTAGTACATGCTTTATCCCTATTAGGCCGAAGCGAAAATGCCTGTTTTCCCTTATGTTTTGACAATTAAATCCGAAGATAATTTTCGGATGTGTGTCTAATCGAATAATGGTGCCATTACATGCTTAATGCAACATAATTTTGCGATCTCTGCGGAGAAAAAGCTTTTATGAATAACCTATATTGGACTACTGCTGTCTAAAATTTTATTATCACGGTTACAAATTCCTTTTCAGAATGCAAAATAGCGAATAGTAGCTCATTCATTCCAAGAAGAAAAGGACTGGATATCTCTCAATCCATGAATATTCACACATGAAATGAAAACAAAATAAGGAAATTGCAAGCAATTAGCCTTGCTTAGCGTTCAAAAAAACAAAAGTGTACAAAAGTTTTTTTGGTGGCAAATTTAAACAACAAAAATAGGATGCATCCAAACACAGCCATCTTTAGACTATAGTAACCAATACGAAAAATCTTTTAAATAAGATGTGAAAAAGCTTTTCATGGTACGTTCTGGTTCACACAAATAATACACTACACCCCGGACTGGTCCAAAGTCTCTTCTCCCCATCCCGGAAGCAGCTGAACAAAAATCAATTCCCTCCCCGTCACCCCCCAATGGCTCCTATGTTACAGCCTTTTCTGTTGATGTGACCGGCAAAAGTACTCAAGTTTAAATATCCCGGAAGAATTTCGAATCGAACCATATCGAGAAAAGGGAAGACAAAGAAAAGTTCCACATAATTCTTGTTTTTCTGTTCCATGGCTGTTGTGATTAGATTGTCTGGGGGTTTATTGGATTTCTCTTCGTCATCATTCTTAACCTCATTTCCTTCGAGTTGTTCCCAGCCAATTCTAGCACCACCCTACCGGAGATTTTGTAAAAGGGTCATATCTTCTTCAGTGTCTTCGCCACCTACTGAAGAGTTTGTTCCGCAAATTGGCTTTAAACCTCGGAGGCGATTGACATCTTTTAAGGTAAAGACTGAAACTTTATTGTTTTTATTTATTTTTAACTCGGGTTTGATTTAGTTGTCAGAAATTAAGACTAATTCTTTCTTGGGCTGAGAGAACGAAGTAAAGTATGAACGCTTGAATAAATTTTATCTTTTCTTCTTCTTCTTCTCCTGGAGTATAGTTTTCCCGAATTGCTTTTGATTATTGTTGTCTGATGAAATTGATGTAGTACTTCTCTTTCGCCAAGAGGGGAGGAGGGTAGCGAGGAGGAGCTAGTATGTTGGTTAATGGATGAAATAGGTGATAGAATTCTTGCTCAAGTCTTCTTTGCTATGGTTTCAATCCACGAGGTCTTTTAGCGGGGTTTCAGGACCCTTTTGCGGGAACTGCTCACTAGATCCTTGAAAATTTGTAGTCCTGTAGGACAACTGATATACATGTACCGTTGTCTATTTAATCATCAAGTTCTTGTTTCATCAGGCTCTCAAAAATGTGACATAAGTGAAAAGAATGTAGTCTAGTAGCCTTTTACGTAAATTTTAAGTAATTACAGGAGGTTTTCTGCCTGTTGCTCTTAGTAGATTGGTGTGAATCTCTGTTCATTATAAAGAAACTAACATTTTAGCTTTTCACGTTCAATTTTGAAAGTGTCTCAATTTTAGTAGAAAGTGAAGATGACCAATAAAGGGGCAAAAAAGGGAAAGGAGAATAAGATTTGACCGCCTTCTCGAACTCCATCTTGGTTATTGAATGTTTTTTTCCTCTTTTGTTCACTTCCCTAGTTGACAAATTTGTCACATGACCTCATAACCGACTTATGTTTCTTGGAAGAACATCTTAATCTCTTGACGCCATCCTGCATTATTGATTTTGCATCGCTATTATGTTTTGACTATATTCTGGTGCTTCACTTGTGCTCTTATTTTATTTGACTGCATTACTTCAGGTACAGGCTGCTGTTACCGAAACAGAGAAGCCAAAGTGGTGGGAAAAAAATGCAGGACCAAATATGATTGACATACATTCGACACAAGAGTTCTTGAATGCTTTAAGTCAGGCTGGAGATAAGCTAGTCATTGTTGAATTTTATGGAACATGGTGCGCGTCCTGCCGAGCACTATTTCCCAAGGTGATTAAAGTTTTCATTTTGTTGGTTGAATATTCCAGTCAGTAATATCATTATCTTCAGAGATGTGTGTAATTCAGTTGTTTTTCTTCTGCTTTTGTCAGTTTATTGATCCCTTAAGGTTTTCGTTTTAACCTTGAACTTTTCGACATATGATTTTTGTGCAAAAATGGGAAAAGATTTATTTGTGAAAAATAGTATTCTTATGTTTGGTTCTTAAAGAAATGCAAGTAGGAAAATTTCTGTTCATTTTGGGAAACTGCATAATTCTGACATGAGTATGGCGGTGAAGAAATTGACTCTCTCTTTTAACTCTCTTCTCCTTCACTTGGAGACAACCACCTATCATTGGTTCACGAGCTCAAAATCTAGAAAGCAAACCATCTGTGCCCAACCAATATCTTCTCTCTGCCTTCCATCAGAAGACTTTTCTCCTTAGCATTGATGCAGAAGCATTTTCTACGCTATTAACCTGGAATTTGCATTACCCCATGAGAATTCGTGTGCTCATGGCAGGCTTGAGAGCTAGGAGCATACTTGTGGGGTTGACAGATCCTAATGTTGGGATGACCTATCTTCTTGTTGGTTTCATCTGGGGGAAAAACAGATGAGCTGCTAGAGTTTTCCAAATCAATGTGCATTCAGTTCACAGAGTTGTTACTAGTACGGTATGAAGTTACATCTCTGAATGAAGAGTTTCCTATCTCCTGATGGTTACTTGAAATGATTTGCCTTGCCTTTGTTTTGTTGACCCGGTGGTTATGGGTTATAGTTCATTCATGCATTACCATTTTGGCCTGGAGATTTTGTTTCCAAGCAAATGTATTTGATTTGTTTAGACCTCTAACCAGCTCTGCAGGACTGCTGAGGAACATCCTGATATTTTGTTCCTGAAAGTCAATTTCGATGAAAATAAGCCCATGTGCAAGAATCTGAACGTTAAAGTTCTCCCGTATTTCCACTTCTACCGTGGAGCTGATGGACAGCTGGAATCCTTCTCTTGTTCCCTTGCCAAAGTGAGTAAAGTTACCTGGTGAATTTCCTTTGTTGGTTCCAAAATTGGAATAGGCTGTTGAGCAGAATTGAAGGGTATATAATCCTTGCTACCTGGCTGAATTAGGATGGTGAATTAACTTTTATTAAGCATACATGAATGGTTTAGGAATGAACTGAGTTTCTGTAACATGGTGGTGTACATGATTGAAAGTAATTTCCAATCATCTGCATGCTCTTTGCAGTTTCAGAAAATAAAGGATGCCATTCAACTACATAACACAGCTCGCTGCAGCATTGGCCCTCCTACAGGCGTGGGAGACTTCAATCTTGAAAGCCTTTCTACAGCAAAGGACAAAGTCGCTGGATCTTCATCATAGGACCACATTTTTTAATAAGTGTTAAATATTTGTCAGCAGCTATCCGATTATCTATGTATATTGCTTAAAGAATGGTAAACTGCAGTATTCAAGCTGCATTTCTTGTCACTGCAATTCTTGGCACAATGTAATGAGACGCTTTCCTGAATTCAATAGAAAGGTATACCTTATTTCATGGCAGCTACTAAAATGCAAACAATAATGTTTAATGGTGGAGTACTTTATTTTAGTTTCAGAACAGCCAGTGTCCATTGATCCTGCAATGAGGTTTAATTTTGTTGATACATGACATGCTTTCCTTAATTTTTCTTTAAATAAAAGAGTAAAATTTTATATACACTGGCAGTGCATACACTGTCACCGTTGGATTCATAACACATGTGTAAAAATTAAATTTTAAATTCAAATTTTATACAGTTATCGTTCATTCAACGCTGATAGTGAAAAAAAATAAAAAATTAATATAAATATGTTGGGCTGGGCTCGCATGATTCACTGAGCCCATTTTGTAATCTGGGCTTCGCAGTTGTGTTGCACTGAATTTGCACTAAGCCACGTGTCTGAAACTCACAAGGCTTCATTACCATATCTAAAGTCTAAACGGGGCAAATGATGGAGCTCCCACGGATCCGAGTGTAGTAGTGTTCACGGTTCACGCGACAGAAGCAGCTTTCTCTTCCAGCACTCAGTGGTGTCAACAATTGGCCGCTCTCTGCTCTCTCTCTCTCTCTGTAAGTCGAACAATTACCATTTTTTCTTCTGTTATTTGAGTGTTCCACCATTTTGTGTCTGGTATAATGTATCAATTTGCCTTTTTGACACGATGAGTGATTTGATTATGTAAAATTCTGGTGACCCATTGAGAAGTATTCATCTTTTCCTGCGTGTTGATATGTTTTGCTGAATCACTTATTTCTGAATTTCTTAAGCTGACTAAGTGTTTGTTAAATTGCCCGAACGAAGGGTAACCGTTTAACGAACACTTGCACCAAAGGCTTTCGAGTAGTTTATGTATCGCCCCCGTCTTTCCCCCCCCCCCCTTTTTTTTGCTGCTAAATGGTGGAAAAGAACCTTTTTAAAAAAAAAATCGTGATAATATGATTCTTTTCAGTTTTTACATTTTTGTGCTGAAACTATCTTTCCTTTCGTTTGTGGTAAGTGGAAGTTCCCCCGTGTAGCTTTCAGGTGGTAGACAGGAAATTTTGAGGATGGCAAGCTATTTGTGGAGAAAGTATGCTGATTATTTGTATTACAAGTGGGAAAAGACGATTCTCTGGGACATGCTGGAGCCATATAGGCGTCCCAAATCATTCACTCCCCTTGTCACACTCTACATTTTTGCCTTTTACACGGGGGTTATTGGATCAGCTATTACCGAGCAACTATATAAGGTATTCTTGATGCATGCTATGAACTTTTGTGGGTACCATTGGTCTTCTTGTGCTTCGCTTCTCAAATTGCTTGGCTTTTGGCACTCATTTTATCGTAATAAAAGATACATGGTGATGCTTTCCTCCACGACATTTGTGTTCTTTGTGGACTCTTCTGAGCAGAATTAAGCATTTCTCATACATGAGTCTTGGAATAGGTTGGAGCAATGTGAAACAAAATGTGCAAGCTAGATTAGCTTACTACCCATAAAACTATCTGAGGAGCTTCGTACATAACGTGCTGTTTGGTCGTGTAGATTTCAACCTGCTATGGCTTCCTATTGGGTTTCTATGTTTACTGGGAACTTTGAGAGGCGTGATCGTAGGTGTTTTACTGCCTTGAGTGGACTGATGTCCTACTCCCATTACTTTTTTAACACTGGAATTGCCTTTTTTTCTGGACTAAAACCTTTTTTTTTTGTTTCCTGATTCCGTGTCGAATTGAGGGCTTATGTGTGTGGTTTATTTTTGAAATTGAAGCTCCTCTCCTTGAATATGGACAATTATGCACATTCTTGTTAAACAGGAGAAATATTGGGAAGATCATCCAGGAGAAGCAGTGCCTCTGATGAAACCAAAGTTCTATGGTGGCCCTTGGAGGGTAATGAGAGGAGAAGTACCACCATCGATCAAGCAGGGTTAAGCAACTGCATAGATTTCCTGTCTAACGTATTCCGAGATTTTCTGTAACTTACCTCCAATGACATGTATCCGTCCACCAGTTAGTTCTTTGTGTATTAAGAGCTATCATTATTCTCACGGTCCATCATATACAGATTTTGAGGTGTTATACCTATTTTAGAGTTCAAGTTAAGAGTTGGATATGCTCCTAAATTATTCAGATAATTGTTTTCATGATACCTTTGGATCGTACTACTGTTTATGCTGTCAAGGCTTTAATGTGTTCAGTCAGATATTCACCTAGATCACTAAACTTCCCTCAAAAACGTAGGATGCAGCAATATGGAAGTTAACGAAAAACGTTGTCACTATTTGGAAAGAGCTAAAAAGGAAATTCGTCGAGGCTGTGAATCAGAGATTCTCCTGATTCATTAAACGAAATCTTCGCCCTTGCAAATGACATGGTAGACAATTCCGCAAGAATACGATACCTCAAGTGAACAATTTAGGAGGTAATATGTATGAAGTAGTAGTACATTTTTTTTTTTTCCCTAGGGAAAATGCTCTGTCAAAGGTTATGCATTGAAAGTTTATATTGGCATCGTGCATTTGACGGTGGTAATCCTTCTAGAATGTGCCTTTTAATGCATAATCTACCGTTGACGAAGTCGGATAATTAACTTTGCACTTGTAATCATGACTCACTAGGTGCAACAAAAACAACTTCCTCGACTTTTGCTTGTCTTTTTCACTTCTCTCCTCCTGAAATTAATGTCAAGAACCTGTAACTCCTTCCATCGCCAACCCCGCGGCCTCTTCTTCTTCTCCCACCACGGAAGTTAATTTCTATTCCAATCTTCAAGAAGATGACGACAATGTACGGCACAATCCCCACATCAGACTTCTATGCCGACCGATTGGACAGAGTCAGATCAGATCTTGGCAAAAGACGCCCATGGAAAGAAATGCTCTCTTCCTTATCATTCCCTGACGGCTTCCAACACTCGCTCTCGCGCATCAACACCAATGTGGCATATTTCCACATGAACTATGCCATGATCGTTCTCTTTGTGCTTTTCCTCAGCTTATTATGGCACCCTGTCTCGCTCATCGTCTTCACCGTCCTGATGGTTGCGTGGCTCTTCCTCTATTTCCTTCGCGATGACCCGATCGTCGTTTTTGGGTATGCTGTGGATGAACGCGTGGTCCTGACCATTCTGTCCATTTCTACGGTGGTTCTGTTGGTGACTCGCACGACCCTGAACGTGGTGGTGGGCGTTGCTGTGGGGTTGGCGGCGGTGGTGGTGCATGGGGCGTTTAGGATGACTGAAGATTTGAACGTGTATGGGAACGAAGGTGTTGGAGGGCCTACGAGGCTGGATTTAATGGAGACTGCTGCTGCTTCTTTTTCTTCATCTTCGTAAATAAAGCTCGTATACGTCGTTGCATAACAATCAAATTGTAATTTCAGTTTGTGGTTCCAAGATCTTGGGAATTGCAGTATTGAGAAAATCCACGGTTCAGTTTTATAATTGGTGTTGGATCAAGCAGTTTTACCAGAAATCAGGGAAACCCTCCCTTCTGTTTCATACTCATTCTCATCAATTGGGAAAATAATACTGTATGTAGATACATGAATGAAAATCTATTACTTGCATGCTCCTACTTACATGGCATGCTGTTGAGACTGTAGAATTGACGACTTCTGCTTCTGTTGTTGATTACGGGGTTGATTAGTAAATAGGCATTACTGTATCCTTCTTTCACTCTCCAAAATATATATATCTATATATGCCAACAACGAAAACAGTTGAAATAAAATCTATAAATCCTGCAATATGCTGATCTAATTATCCATTTCACTGCTTTTAATTTCGGATTGTTTTAAAGGACAACCCCATTGTCGCTGAGCCATTGCCATCTTTGACGAATATGCCTCCCCTTCATCTTTTCTGTTTGAGGAACGATTTCTGATCAAATGCTAAAACCCATATTCAAAGCTGATGGAGTGTTTTATGGTAACAAATCAGATTCTCCTTCAATTTAAAAGGTTCAAGATTGTGAAAATGTAACATTAAAACCATTTATATGTTCAAAGCAGAACAGCAATATATAAAGTAAATAGTAGTAGCATCAGCATAAATATTTTTCTAATACAAACAGCGGGGTCCGGATCGGGTCCGGCCTCCAACCACCAAATGTTGGGACAGATTTAGCAAAGTCAGCTACATGTACAGAATGCAGAGAAAAGCGTGCGAAAGAGAGAGAATTCATTAGTACACGCTGCAATTCTGCGTTCACTACAATTCTAGAGCAAAGAATATGCTAAATAGCACACATATATTATTAAACGCCAGGCCAGATGTTGATTTAGTCAAGCTCGACCATCAATCGACCTAATTGGCAAAAAAGAAATTCGAGTAGCATTTTATAACTAGAGGGCTTCCCAGGACCTTCATATGCCTCCCATACGCTTTACTCGGTCAACCATGCATCACCACCTTAAACATTGCATAACGGGTAAGAATTCCCAGTCGAAGTGTCAAAAAAGCCCCACACGGCACCTAGGAATCTGCACGAAGAAATTCCACACAAGTTACCGCGAAACTCACAAATGGCTAGTTTAATCAAATCTTGATTTGGAGTTGTTTACTTTAGTGTAACACCGGAGTTTGATTCGAACAATGTTGGTGGAAAAGAAGCGCTGCAAATGCATGGTACCTACCAAACAGAAACGTGACGGATTCTAGCACTTCTTTGACCCACATTCTTTTGGTTTTGGGTGGTTGTAGAACCAGGTAGGAGAGCATTTTCATGTGAAAAGTGTCCAAAAGCCACCTGGTTCCTCTCCTCAATGATAGCCTCGAAAAATTGACAGCTTAACCAGAACTTTCTTGCACTTCAAAATCAAGGTGCTCAACCCGGAGAAAGCTACAGCATTCATATCTCCTAAAATCCACTCCTTCAGCCCATTCTTACTGTCTAATTACTGTTTCCTGCTGCTTCTTTAAGTTGCAAGGGCTAGAAGACAGTCAAATGAGTTTTATGCATGTTGTCAAGTGGCCAAGAGTGGGGTGCAGAAACTTTGTATCGTCTTAGAACAACAATTTGCACCAGCACCACTAACTCTTCCTCCTTCATCTTTGTCCCCTGCTTTCTGCTTTCTGCGTAGCTGAAAATATGTTACTGGGCTTACTGTGAAGTTATAGATAGGATTTTGCAGCTCATCTCATATACAAAAAGTGGTGGATTTGTCCACTTCAGCTTGCCACAAATAGTTAGCTTTGTAAAAGTTCAGATAGTGGAGATCCTACTCAGACTGCTCTACCTCCAACCAAATTATCCCACAACTCCTCATAAGCATAATAAAATTACTAATTATTTAGTAATTATACACCTCAAACAACATTAACTGGTCCGCAGACAATAATAACAGAGTCATGCTTTACTTGTACGGCTATACCTGCACGGCCGCACCAGTTGTCATCCGGGATTGATCTGTGAATCAGCAGATGCTAAGCTTTTTCAAATTCTATTCCTTCGAAACTCTAGTTTATATTGGGATCACTATCCATAAGCGCAGGGAGTAGGAGCGAGTTCAAGTGAAGAGATCACATAGCAATTGCAATGATACACATATAGCCTATGCAACTAGGATGCCATGAAAACAGGAAACACACACACACCAAAAACAAAAATTTATAGAAACGAAGAACTTATTAGATTCTCAAATATTATTGACTCATCCCTTCACTTCCGATAGAGATATCTGACGTACAAAATCCACAATTGCAGGCAATTCAATCACAACATCGACCCTGAATACTATTTGCTACCTCAGATCATTCTGAAGATTTTTTACATCCATTCTCAACAGAAGAGCAATGATACACCCTAAACTCACACTTAGGTGAGACCCTCTTAAACAGCAACCTCGCAGTATCCTCATGACTGACTTTAGCACCTTCCCTCTCCACCAGAGCTGCCGCCACAATCCTCTCGTATCCACCTCCTCCCCAAGCTATATACGCCGCCAGTGCAGCCTGAACCGGCCCCAAACTCGGATTATATGCTGCAGACTCGATATATGATCCCCTGTACACCTTCCCTTCGGGATCCATCAGGGCCACCCCGGATGGGCACCCGCTATACGGTGCATGTGACTTGTTGGCAGCCTCCAATGCTTCTATCCTCAGAAGGGCCTCACTTTCTTCCAAGTCTCCGTAAAACCCATTGCTTAAATTTTTAAAGTTCCCATCAAGTTCGGATTCTTTTGAATATCCATTGCACAAATTTGCGTGTTTTCGGGAGGTATCAAAAGATAGCCCATTGCTATGGGGTTCGAGGAGGAGGGGAGATTCTTTATCCAACAGATCACAGGGGCCAAATGGGTTGGTTAAGAATTCCGGCAATGGCTTAAAGGGGAGGGGAGATTTTGAAAAGTTTTGATTTGGGTGGTCGGAGGTGATGAGGATTTGGAGAGAGGAAGAATCCCGGAGTTCTTGGAAGAACTGGCGGCAGTGGCCACAAGGGGCGGCGGAGACGGCGAGAGCAATGAGGCGAGGGCAGCCATGGACGGCGAGGTTGTTGCAGAGGAACTGCTCTGCGTGGACGGATTGATTTAAGGGGAGACCAGGAAACTCGAGATTGACGCCTATAAAAACGCGGCCGTCGGAGCCGAGGCCGACGGCCCCGACGGGGAATTTGGAGATGGGAGGACGAGCAAGGGACTGGGCCGGTTGAACCAAGGTGGGGAGGAGGTGGAGGACGGAGGGGAAACCTAACGATTGGGCCACTGATTCAGCCTCACTGGCTGATATTACAAATTTGAGATGATCCATTTTGATGATTGTACGGTTCTCCTTTTTCTGGAATGTCGTAGTAGTATTTTCTTTGTTTTGTCGTGCTAATTCTTCTGGGAAGTAGGGGGGCCGTGTTTTTTCTTTTGTGGTTACTGAAAGTGAGAGGATGTGGATATATTTGTCAGGAATTGATTGAGGAGTGTGGTGGAGATGAGGTGGGATGAAGTGGATAATCGTTTATTTGTGCGTGAGTGATTTATCATGTATCAGTCTTGCCAGAGGAGGAGGAGGAGATCGTGAAATTGAACGGCATGGAGGAGTTTAGAGCTTTAGGAATTAGAAGTACAGAACGGGAGGACAGGAGAGGAGAGGAGAGGAGGAAGGGGAAGGAAAGAGGCTGGCATCATGGGGTATTTATAGTGTTCTTACTGTTTTTGTTTTTTGGTGATAAAGATAGGAATGGGATGGATACAGTTAGCATTGGAAGCAATGATGAGTTGTGCACTCAATGGTTTTGAGTGGTTGTTGATACCTGCATGAAAAATTCTTGGGACTGTATGCAAATTGCAATTATCGTGCGTAAGTTGCACCGAGAGGGGCTAAAAAATGAAGAAGAAGAAGAAGAAGAAGTTGCAGAATATGACATGGATCCCTGTGAAGTATTCATGACCAAGAAATCAGAGCGCCAGGTTAATTCCAGTCCATAGAATTTAAAGGTCGAGATAGGCATTGGTTTACATGACACTTAATCCTGAAACTAGTGTTTTGGCACACCGTAGATGTAGATGTAGATGTGTGTTTTTTTTTCAATAAAATGTATGGTGTATTATTAGTGTGAGAAAGTTGTAATATTTGATTGTGCGTAGTTTTTTTTTTGGAATATATTGGGGCCAATTTGCCCTTATAATTAAAGGTGATACTGTATGTTTACACACATACATAATATGTTATTCTCCTTTTATATATTGTATAGATATTATTTATTATGTAAAGTCAAATGTGCATTTGTTACTTGAGTTTCTTGCTTATTTGATGGGGGATGGTACTGCATAGTAACTTTGAATAGAATATCTTTCGAGTGGGTGGATGAAAGGGAAACCTAAAAAGGGATGCACTATGATAAGGCCTTCGTTTTTCTTTATGTGCATTTGCTTCATTTGGTTATCGCTGGCTCTATTTTGGCAAAGGTTAAAGATTAAGGAAATATTAATCGCACCTTACTTTTGTTAATTGTATTTTCGTTATTTGGTTTGTCATATAATTTAAGGAAAAATCATTCAAGACGGTAAACGTCCGTCGCATTTCGCAATATGACTTTTTTCGTCCCTCACTTTTAAAAGTGTAATTTTACGTCCCTTACAAATTCATATTGATCAAATCTGGTCCCTACCTAAGTTTTGAACTAGTTTTTGGTTGGAATATACCACGTGTCTTCCACGTGATCATTTTTTAGAAACAAAACTGTCAAGTCAAATTTCACATATTTTTTCATCCCTCACATTTTACAAAATAAATTTTTTCGTCCCTCACATTTTTAAAAAAATGAATTTTTTTCATCTCTCATTAATCATGTGTACAAATAGTTTCTTTTTTTTTTAATCCATGTATATATCTATTTAATTTCACCTGAACAGTACGAATAGCATGTAACATATCTATATTTGATTTCATTTACAACTACAATTAATTTATTCAGATGAAATTGAATAGAGATATATTACATGCTATTCGTACTGTTCATGTGAAATCAAATAGATATATATATATGTGTGTGTGTGTGTGTGTGTGAATAGTCAAAAATAAGAAATGATTATCGTACATATGATCAATAAGAGATGAAAATTTTCAGTTTGCAATGTGTGAGGGATGAAAAATTTTATTTTGTGAAATGTGAGGGACAAAAAAATTCATTTTGTGAAATATGATGGACTATGAATCAAATTATGTGAAATATATTTAACAATTGTACCCCTAAAAATGACCATGTGCAAGGCACATGCTAGATTCCAGCCAAAAACTAGTCAAAAACCTATATAGAGACTAAATTTGATCAATATGAATTTGTAAAGGACGTAAAATTACACTTTTAAAAGTAAAGGATGAAAAAAAGTTATTTTACAAAATGTGAGAAAGGTTTTGAATGATTTTTCATAATTTAATACATAAAAATGATAGTGAAAGTGCGATTAACAAAAAATTGAGTCCGATAAACATTTCTCAAAGATTAATGACTACCCAAAGTGGCCATCACCAAACAAGCTTACCGGTATATGTCTGCAAATAAGTTAAGCAACTTTTTAAGCTTTTTTTTTGGTTTAAATGACTTACGCAACTCATAGTCTAAATACTACTTAAAACTTTTATTCCATCATACATACTATATACACAATTTTTGGAGCTATTGACGTAAACATTTAAAATATTCAAAATCTTCATCCAGGGACAAAGTGCAATTGAAAATCAGGGTGTCTTGACCCAGGAATTATGCTCAAAATGCAAATGGGCAATACTATGCGTGCGCGGACAAGTCTTGGAACAAATTGGAGAGAATCGTCGCATAGAAGAGAGGATTGCAAAATTACAGCCAATTTTTCCCCCTTAAAGAAAGAAAGAAAGAAAGAAAATTCTTCCCAATTCTTCCCTTAGCCCACTTTCAAAGTTCTTGTAGATACAAATTTTCAGCATCTAACATATGGTTTTTTGCCAGAATTTAGCCCCCAACCCCTTCCAAGACAAAATTACAAATTGGGTTTGTTGCATCATAATTGTTACCCAGAAAAAAAAAAAAAGAAATGAAATCCGGTTGGATGCTCTACAGCCGTACTACTTTGTGCTCTATCATTAGCATTGAGAAGTACTGCTGCTACAATTTTGTAAAAAAAAAAAAAAAAAAACAAGTAAAAGTATAACATGATGACATCAAAGCATGCAAAAAAACAAACACGAATTATTAGAAAGGAGACCCCATGACCCAAACGACCTGGGGACATTTCCTGCACATTGGACATCAATTTCATGTTGTAATAATCAAACGACACAGTACAACTATGTGAGGTCAACTTTGTTGCTTTACGTAAATGCAACCAAAATTAGGAATCAACCAGTCTTTTACCATTTATATAATCACACATTTGAGCGAGTAATGCTGTTTGAGGCACGCAAAACATACGTGGCAACAACAAAATATTTTAATTTTATACTGCAAGTGTTAAAATCACGTGTGACGTGCATCTAAATCGGCTCGTATATATATTGATACCACATAAAAAGTTATTTTTTATTTTATTTTATTTTATTTTCAGGATGGGGATGTGAGGGAGAGGGACAAGAGGCACGGACGGTTACAGGTGCAATCATCCCCAGCGGTTTTAGCCATTTTTAATAGCTCGTAACTTTGGTTGCACACGGAGTAATTTTGTTTGCACAACGTATAACTTTAGTATAAAATTTTACGAGCCCCACATACGGTGTTAAAATTGATGCACAACTTGTGATCTGGATCGCATAAAATTTTTTGATCAAATCATAGCTATTAACTGCTCACGGTCTGCCCCTTGTCCGAGGAGGAGGAGGAGGTACAATTGCCTACGTTTATTCATAAATTGATTGGGATACAGCTGTCATTAGGTTCAATCAAACTATGATATGATTATTGTGATTATTTGTCCCGTCTACGAGTTTGATCTTAATAGGTTTTCCTACTCTTCGAGGTAGATGTTTACAACCCAAAAAACAAGGGAAAAAAGGTATCATGTATGTCACGTGACTAGGCTCCTATGAATTAAAGATGTTCATAACTTCATATAGGTTAAGATTCATCATAGTGGTCCAATTTGCCTTTTTCATGTAGGCTATAGATTATTTGGCAAGGTATAAATCAAATGAGATTTTATTCATTTTTTGAAGTTTTTATAAAAAATATATATATAATTTTTTAATATATGAAAGATAAAAAGGTGATTGAAAAATATAATCAATTGTCACTTTGTCTATAGAATCCTATACTATCCTAATTTAAGTGAAAACCCAATTGGATCTAAGAGGCTAGTGGGGACTGAACCCGTTTTGAATTTTTTAAAAAACGACTTAATGTGATAATTGGTGAAAGGCAAGGGTTCCTCCCATCCCACCAAATCTTAAATGGCTTAATGGTGACCACCAACCCAAAGACTGGTGATTTTCTCAATAACATTTTTATGGATGGTAAAATTACGAAAAATGACTTTAAGATGCGAAGTTTCAAGACACCATGCCAATTGACTCGTGAACAATGAAAGTCAAATAATATTAAGTTCAATCATATACTAGTAATGGTGTGCATAAACAAAATCGATTAATTTTTAAAAATTCATTGCTTTTGTTTGAACAGTTTAAAAATTTTTTTGGGTGTTTGTTTAAAATTTTACTGTAACTTACTTTAGAAGTTGTAAAATTTTTTTTTTAAATATGTAAATTTTTGAATATGTTGAAGCGTATAGTTTAAAATTTTTGAAAAGTTTTTTGAAATTACTGTATCTAAAGTTGTTAAAAAACTTGTAACAGACAAACTTAACCAAAAACTTGCTGGCCAACAAGGCCTACATTCTCGCACCATAGAATAGAATCCAAATAAGGCACATTAAAACGTGATGGAAAAATGTCGGGGCAGCCATGATCCAAGCATAAATGCCACTACTACAAAAGTTTAATTGTGGCCAAAAAGAAAGTGCAAGAATCTTCTTTGATATCAACTTGGGCATGATATGCTAAAACTGAAATATTATAGATGCAAGAATCTTCTCCTAGTGTATTGAGTTTGATGTTCTAAACCGGTTACTGTAACTTCTAGTTAGCTTCTGTTCTGATATCCTTTCCTTTTACTTACCAATCTTCCAGAGGGAGATAATTACTACTTTCAAAGTATGATTCATGCTTTGCAAGTACTAATCACCTAAAAAGAGTAAGATGCAATTATGTAAAGAACCTACGCTTTTAGCCCAGTAGACGTGGACGTGGGATTCTTGGTTCGACTTGCACATTGTATATTTAGTTGGTGCTAGCTTGCAAGCATTTTAAGACACTACTCTACTGTTATATTGCCTTTCAATGTCCAATCCGGGATCCAATTGGACCACAGGCGGGAACGGCCGGTGATTTTGTGTATTTTACACGTCGCGTAATTTTATTTACATATGGTGTAATTTTGTGTTGAATAACGCGTAATTTTAGAATAAAATTTTGTGTGTCCCACACATATTATAAAAATCGAAGTGCAATACGTGATTTGGATCATACAATTTTTTATAAAAATCGAAGTGCAATACGTGATTTGGATCATACAATTTTTTATGACTAAATCCTGGCTACGAACGGATGACCGTCCCTGCCCCTCATCGTAGACACAGCGTACTTTGATTAGAATATGCTGCTGGCTGTAAACTAATTGTTCTGTTACTAGCTCTGCTGACGTTTCAATATCATAAGATTCGTAATTGCTTTCATAAAATTCGTTACTTAATTAGAGTATAATAATGTTTTGTTTGTATATATTATAGTATACGTGATTTTCCACTAGAAAAAGAGTATTTGGTGGGAAGTTTTGGCCTATAGCAATAAGAATTAGAAACACGTCAAGGCATTGCTGTTTTTTCATAAAAGCATTTTTGATAAATATATTTTTCTATCACTTTTTGGATTGCTGTTTTTTCATAAAAGAATATTTTTCTATCACTTTTTATTTTACATGTAGTTACATATCAAACCACAATTGTAAATTTTTCTAAAAAAACTAATAAAAATAGCAACTTTTCATGCTGGAGGGCTTTTAGCGTTTTGCGCATGAAGAGA